CGGGGATCGGAAGTATAACTGGTAAGTCAGTGAATTAAGTCACAGCTTATGATAAAGACACCACTGCTTCACAAAATGTTGCTCTTCATTTTCTATTACAATTGTATTTGATTGTGGGCTGTAGTTTAGTCAAGGGTAATATGGACATTACAGACCTCAGCCTCTTCTCACAGTACACGGAGGAGTGGTGCCCTGGGAAGTGTGGGAAAACAGTCAGCCTGATGATTATTTTGGTTGCATATGTTTACACAGCAAAGGAAAAGCTCCGTACAGCTAACAGAGCCAGAAGGCCCCTGCAATACATCAGCTGACTTGCTGATACACATTAATGGTTGCAGCAATCTCTCCAGAGCTTGCTTTCCGGTGCTTCAACCTAGCAGTGCCACAGACCAGCGCTAGTTTGGAGCAGGACGGGAGCGATGCTCGAACATAACAACATTCCATTGTCACTGCTAAAAACAAACTCACAATAATGTACAACCAGAACCAGATTTAGCTGCCATGATTGTTTTTCATAATGACTCATCCAACACTAACGTAATAAAACAAACCAGGAGAGCAATCCCTACCTTCCTTGTCCTAGCAGCTTTTCTCCTGCGATTTTCATCTTTCATTGATCTGTATAGTAGCACATCTGATGCACATCAGCCACTGCTTGCAGGTCCCTCCAAAGCATGCTAGAAGCAGCACAACAGTGAGCAGTAAGTTATTTTTTACTGTAGTTTTGCTAACAACTATCATTCTCCAGAAAAGGACGGATTAAGCCTGATGTTTCAGAAGCAGTATGCTAACCTTCCTGATGTATCACCCATTATCATCTTGCTTTGCTATGTCTACATAAACTTTTCACCTAGAAGAGTATATTAACAGTAATTAAATTATCTTTTTTTTTTTTATTATTTCCAGCAAACTTTCTAAAGTTTCATTTCTTCACTTAACTGTTGATACACTAGATCTCTGTATTTCCTTGGCAGCAAAAATTGAGTCACATAGGATTATATTGTCTGTCCAGCTTCAAGTACACTTACTAAGAAAGTGCACTCATACTTAAAGAAAGTCAGATTTCAACAGAATCCCCTTTTTTTTTTGAGAGAGAGAGAGAGATCACAGGCGTTATGTTTATACAACCTGTATTGTTTGAGCTACATGAGCTCACTCTTACTTCCCCGGTAACGTGGGAGCTGACTGATCAGAAAGCCCCCACGCATTTTCACTATGTTCCTAAGTACTAGGCTGTCCCTTTTAAGCGTTCCCACATTTCTGAGTTTAGACATTTTTAAGGAATACGATATTGTTCTCTTAATTTTCGGTCAGCTATACTGATTCAGTTTTCGCCTCCCCAGCGCTGAATTGCTCTATTGTCTTTCCCTGTGGCGAGTTACGCGCTCGGCGCTCTGAGAAAGTGAGGGAGCCTCTCGCTACTGCTGAGCTGGGTTTTCCTGTTCAATCCTTTCAAAGCAGGCATTTTCAGTTCTGGTTTGTTTTATAGTTGTCCACGTGTCGCCCTGAATACGCAGACTCTGGACATCTTCCACTGGTCCCATAAGCAGTGTCTGTGTCTCACAAGTTATAACAGATCAAGCCTCTGCGACTGTTGGCCAGAAGCGTTTTCATCTTCCCTTTGACCCAACAGCAAGTTACCAACTTACCAACAGCAAGTTTTCATTTTTCAGCATCCTTTGCCTTGTAATCTGCTCTCTGCCCACACTAGCTGAGAGCAAATTACTCTTGAAGGAACCATTTTGTAAAACTGCAAGACTTAAATGATGAAAATGCCTATGGCATCAGTGCAAGATAGCCACCACGTAGCCATTTGCCATATCCCTGCACTGTTCTTCAAGGGATGGCCCTCATCTTTCTTAAATTGTTTAACTGACTCTTTAAAAAAGCAAATGGCAATCAAATAGGCATATTTATTGCAATACGTATTCATTTTTAAAAAAGATATTCCAGAGACCTCACAAAACAGAGATGCCATTTTGAGTATTTTAAAACATCCAGTACTCTCCCAGAAAACAAAACTGAAAAGAGGTATTATCAGCTAAACTTGTGCTCAAACCACAAATAAATCACACTGCAGTCTGCATTCTTTAGCAATTTTTTAACATGCTCAGCACTTCCAGAGTTTAAAGCTATGGGCTTGATCTCCTTATTCATCACGCAGGCAGCGCCAAGGGCGGTGTGCATTAAGCAGATTGACCTTTCATACACAAAAGACAATTTTAGATATTATTAACGCAGCCCTTTTCAATTGTTACTTTTCCTCAGGGATTTCAGGCTTGGTGAACCTTGCACTAAAAGTCTGCAAAATTCAGTCTAAAAGCAAAACCAACTCTGCCGCCCAGGGACAACAAGAGATGCAAGTATAAGACTGCAAAAATCATGCAATTTCCAAGACTTTACAAGCTCCTGAAATTGCTGCAACAATTTGGGAAACAAATGAATTCTGCTTTCTGCTAGGATCAAAAGCAAAGATTGTCGCTTCAAAACTAGATGCTTTTCCAAAAGCTGTCCGGAGCCAGAAGTAGGCAGGCTGGTTTCAACACTTCCAAGCAGATGGGGTGCTATCGGCATCCATTCCTGTTTGAGTACACTCAAACCATGCAGATCAGTTATATGGGTTGCAGACACAGGAACTTCAATTTGAACGTTATTAAAGGGAAGTTCAATTAGAAAAAAAAAAAAAGTTATATCTGTTGGGATTCAATATTTTCGTGAATCAGTAAAATTCAATAGGCTTCACACAGGTAACTTTTTCTCCTGCCTGGGAGCAAAGCCACTTGGTAAGTGAGAGGACACATCATCATTTTATTAATGCATATTCCACCTAGGTATAAGGAACCATAGGCAACTATATATGTGATATTAATTTTATACAATCATAGTGTTATGTAAAATGATACGTCTATATCCCTTCATACATAACACCAGTCTTTTTCTTTCAGGACTGGACCCTGCTCAACCTTATTTTCAAGGCACTCCCATTGAAGTCAGACTGGATAAATCTGATGCAGAGTTTGTCGATGTTATCCACACAGATTCAGCTCCCACAATCCCCTACCTAGGTGAGTATTCAGCTCTACCGTATTAATACCAAAATATTTATGCCCTGTGGGACTTGAGTATCCTAATTGTTCCTCAAGACTCAGTTTTGGTGCACAGACACAAACAGAACAAATACACCATACTGATCACTCGTGTCCTAAAATACCAAGCACAGACAAACTTCAAGCCAGAAGTTATAGACATGAGAAAATATTAATTTAAAACATGCTTACCCCTCCTTTAAATGCTTCAGGTTTTGGCATGAGCCCAGCTATAGGACATCTTGACTTTTACCCAAACGGAGGAAAGCAAATGCCAGGGTGTGGGAAGAACCCTGTTTCACAGATCGTAGATCTGGACGGCATCTGGGAAGGTAAGTATGTTGATTACATTACAGATTCAGGGGAAGGTCACCCTCGCAATGTAACCACTTAACTTCTCTTAATTCAGGTGTTTTGTGTTAGCTTTTGGTGTGTCCATCAGCAACGGCAGCTGCAGAGTGCAGTGAAACTGTTAATATGCTCAAACACACCATTTTCCAGAGCTTATTCAAAAAATAAATAAGACAAAGGGTTTGCCTCCGGAAAATACGCCTCCTCTAAAGTATCTAATAGCAGAAACAAAAGTTACTTAAACTGTGCCAAAAATTTTGACGGCTCTGTAACAACACGTTTCCCTTTGTTTCTATTGAGTTGCCCAGCAGCGGTACTGGGTGGAGCACGGCAATGATGCTCAGAGCCACTCCTGTTAGGGACCTTCAGCTGCAATTCTTCTGAGATAGAGCAATTAATTTTTTTTTTTTTTTTTTAAATTACCTATTACAAATCTGGGTTGCATTAAAACAATATCATTGTGTCTATTTTTATTCAGCTAAAAAACGATTGGCATGTAGCTGCTCAAATACACTTTTCTTTGTTGTTTTGCCTGGTTCCAAGAAAAGCTCTAATAATTAGAAAAATCCTATGTCTTTATAAAGTTAAGTTGCACACAACATTAAAAAACCGAAGATTTCTGCTGTAGAGATTTTTCAGTATATGATCCGAGTTCTTTCTTACATTACTGCAAACACCTTAAACTCCAGGAATCCATGAACTTATTTGTGATAACTAGCCTTTTTCTCCAGGTTTTATTCAATGCAGCTGGAGGCATTACTTTTTTTTTTTTTTACCTATAGAGTAAACTTGTTATCAATAATGGGGAATTAAAGCACAAAGAAATAACTGTGTTGTATATGATCTTCTTTTTAACTTAAAGTCAGGAAAATAAAGGCAACACAAAGGAAAATAATACATTTATTATTTTAATTTTAAGAGTCTCCCTTCCTTAAGCACCCCCCAAATAATAATAATTTTGTTTTGAAGTCCTCAGCTGGAGCAAATCAGCATTGCCCTAGGAAGTTCACTGTTAAATACTTTTCATTTGGTTTTCTTTTGTTATGGTAATGCAACTGTAGCCTACAAAAGATCTGCTTCATGCAGTTCTCATTTCTATTGTGAAACTCGGTCAGACTACTTGAATAAGTGTTTGTGAGGGGAGGGGAGGGCAGGGGCTGAGCTGAGCTGAGCTGCGCAGTGGGTCTCCACAAAGCATTTCAAGTTTGCATTTTATACCTGTTGCTTCAGTGACATTCCTTAGAGCATCAATTCATTGCAAAAGCAAGCTTCAAACCTTATGTTTGATACTCCAAGAATGGTGACAAGGCTTTTGAGGAGGAATGATGTATCTCAAGGACGTGGCAAGGGCTGTGCCAGTATCTTTCCTTGAATGGTACCAGAAAGGAAGAACTAACCTGGGAGCATCTTTTCACAGGAACTCGGGACTTTGTGGCTTGCAATCATTTGCGGAGTTACAAGTATTACTCTGACAGTATTATCTACCCTGATGGATTTCTAGGCTATCCTTGTGCTTCATATGATGTTTTTGAAACAGTAAGTATTTCACAGAGCCTCAGGATGGACCATATGAAGAATAGTGGCTCTTATCTAAACATCTGAATTTCAACTTATTTATGCTAGCTTGCACCCAACGAGTGCATGTGTGAGAGGAGTGTCAGACATCCTAAAGTATTATAGCTCATGCAGCTGACGTGGGTCAAAGTAGGAAAAGGCAACAAAAAAACAGGGACAACTCTGGTCCTGTGCTGATGTGACGGCCCTGAGGTGCTACTGGAGCTGGTGTGGCTCCCCCAGGCCTGCTCTGCTGCATCGAACCGGGGAAGAGGTGAGGAGAGCCTGCCCTTGTAGTCACCAAATGTATTTATCAAACAGCAATGGGTGGAACCCCATACTGTAGCAGGTGAGCTTTCAAACATAGCTTAAACATCTTCTTTTCAAAACAAGAAGTAAAATAATATGTGATGGCCTGATGGAGTCAGCCCATGGTCAAGTACTTTGGTCGCTTAAGATGGCCGCAGGGACAAAGCACAATGGTTTATGGACTAGGTCAGGAAGCCCTTCCCTGTCCCAGACTGGGAGATAGGGAACTACAGCCTAAGAGTTGCAGGGAGGTAACGGGCTTGTCATATCCTCCAGGCAGCACAGACAGAGGTATCAACTTATGTAGTGCTTAGATTGACCTTTAAACATTCTGGGCAGGTGATAGAGATCACACTTCTTGGATCACTTTGGGAGGAGGTGACTACCTGATTCTGTCACCACAGTAGAAAGCTGCTTTCAAAACAACAATGAGCTTTGTTTTCCAGACAAAGCCTTTCTTGACCCAATCTGAGGGTATAAGGAGACATCATTCTTTCTCATCAGTTGCTGGGAAGGACAGCTCCTCCTCCCTGCTCCAGTTCAAGACTACTCAAGGATGTCACTGATGTGGCTGGATTGAGCTAAATAGCACAAGATAAAACATAGAGCCCTGAAAAATCAGAGCCTTTGAGAAAGCTGGTTAGCTTATATGATCTTCCTCAAGTCACAGAAAGGGTTACTTGAAATTTGTTGTTGCTGTGATACAGGGCCATTTAGGTGGGTATGGTAAAAATAAGTTCTATGATTAATTTTATTTTTCTTGGCTGGGTGGATAATTTTATTAATATTTATATTTGGTTTCACTAGGAAAGGTGTTTCCCATGCCCACGAGAGGGATGCCCAAATATGGGTCACTTTGCAGATAAATTCAAAGGGAAAATTAAAAATGATTTCCTGAAACTTTACCTGAATACTGGAGAGGCCAAGGATTTTGCTCGTGAGTTTTGATTGCTTCCATTGCTAGTTACTGCATGTAATCAAACCTTTTTATTTTCCTGTTTTACAATTAATTCTAACAGATGAACAGACCTCATAGCAGGGCAATGGCTTTTCACTCCTTCATGCCTTTTCCTCTTTTGCTCCAACACTAGTGCCCAGTTCTGGGCCCTCCGGTACAAGAAAGGTGTTGACAAACTATAGAGTCCAGTGGAGGCCACTGAGATGTTTAGCGGGCTGCACTACAAAGTGCAAGGAGAAAGGAGGATAGGCAATGCACAGAAGTTGCAGCAAGGGAATTTCTTATTAAAAGGTATGAAAATTACTGTCACAATGACAGTGGTTAAATGCAGGAAGAGGGGCCCAGAGAAGCTGGGAAATCGCCATCTTTGGAGATGTTCAAAACTCCATTTGACTAAGGCCAAGAGCACACTGATCGCAGCTGGCCCTGCTTGGAGAAGCGGATGGACCAGATGACCTCCTTTACAACCTAGGTTATCCCAAATGTCAGCTCTCACAAGGTGGTTCTTCTTTTGCCTTTGTAAACAAGAATCAGAGGGAGAAGAGCTGTTTTTGCAAATGATGCACTAAAAGAAAGTTCCCACCCACAAAAATTATTTTCCTTGAGCTTCAGATTTTTTTTACGCTCCTTTTACACTGCTTATATTTGGTATGTATCAGTATTTATTCCTAACACCCCCTTCTTTTCAACTTCACTGTATATGAAAAACTTTGTGGTCAAAATGCTGAGATCTATATTGTGTTTACCATGTTATGGACTAGCTTTTCCCCTCCCCCCCCTCCTCCCTGAAGGTAACACAAATATCTACCCATTTCTCAGGTTGATCTCATTAGGACATAATGACAGATCTGACTCACTGATGTTTTGTATTTATTTTGCATAGTCATAACCCAAGGAAGAGCAGGGAGCACCAAGAATCAGATTCAGGTGTGAGAGAGAGCACGGTGTTAACCCCTTTCAGTCCAGACAGCCTGGGGTGTAGCCTTGAGCTGAAAGTGAAAGTGAAGGCAGGGATAATTTTCTTTTGCTTTCAAATGCACCGTACAGACCAAAAAAACCAACACTTGATATTTTGCAGACTGTTTCTCTCTGAGTACAATCTGACTTACTGTATTCCTTCTGTGTAGTTTGGAGGTACAAAGTAACCGTGACCCTCTCTGGAAAGAGAAAAGTTAAAGGATATGTAAATATTGCGCTGTATGGAAGTGATGGGAACACAAGGCAGCATCAGATCATCCAGTAAGTTCAAAATTCAATAGAAAAGAAACTTCAATTCTAGAATGTTTAATTAATACTTTCAATTAATGTTTCTGTTTAAACTGGCCCTGTTTTACAGATCGCATTCTTCCCCCCCAGCACAGCTCCCTGATGTAAATGCAGTGACAATTCACTCACTCTGAATTTGAAGGCAGAAGTTTAGAGTGCGGGACTTTAAAACGTTAGAATTTGGTGTCACTTGTTTGCTATACCACCAAGGTCTTGCTGGACCTACACTAGCAGAGATCTGATCTCTTTGTCTTTCACAGGCTTGTAAAATGATGCTACTAAAGCTACCTCATGATTTACTACTACTTTTTGTGGCTCATAACTTCGCCTGCTTACACTGAAGCTGCTTGCTTGCCTCACGTGGTTTTGTTTATTTGCATTTTTCTTCTTTGTTTCAACTAAAATATCTGAAATGATGGAAAATAGGGAGAAAGCATTTTGATGTGGGTTTGGGGTTTTATTTTTTGGTTTTGGTTTATTGACAACTGTCACTTCCACTTTTCCGAGAAGGACTTCACATCTTCACACTTGGCAGGAGGCGTTTGCTCTGAGTTGATCCCCCTTGGCAGGCATCCGTGCATTCACCTGAGACCAGTCTGCCAGTGCTGAATGCACTCCAGCACTCTCTAGCTGCTATTTGCAGGGCCTGTGTCAATTCAATTGCTGGAAGTGAACATTTTTTTTTTCCTAGCAAATCTTGCTCTAACCTACCAGGCACCACTGTGGATCCAGCAAAGAAACAAAAAGGCAAAGGGATTTTGTCCTGTCTCTCATTACTTCCACTACCATAAGCCTTATAATACAGAGGAGAGTGAACAGACTCCTCTGAAGGCAGATGAATGAGAATGTTCAAAGCTAGGGGAAGGAATAAAAATCCCATCTTTCCCGTGAAGCTTATTGTAATTATAGAGGTTTTTTTCCGGGTGGTTCTGCTGGGTCCTCTGCTTTTTTCCCCCTCCTGTATCTCTCACATCATGTCTACAATACAGTGATAAAGGCATCACACATTCAAATGTCTCTTGACTTCATGCAGCAGGGGTAAATTTTAGAAAGTAGCCCTTCACCTTCAGAGCATGGGGGTGGGAGGGGGAAAGGAAGAGGATCGAAGAAACTTTGGCTCATATTCAGTGAGATGTAGTAGCTGAAGCCATTAGCAGTCTCAAACTGCTGCTATTTAGAGCTTGCTATACTGATGCAACATGAAATAAGTAGCCAGATTATAAACTATGTTGACCCAAGAGCCAGATGCACATTTGACTTGACCACAGTGCTTCAACTGTGGGAATCTCTGCTAGAGAGCCAGGCTGAGGGTGCATAATCCTTTTGGCCGTCCCAAACAAATCCAACATCTGTATCATATAAATTAATTAACATGAAATGAAAATGTCACTTACGTGCAAAAAACCCTGCCTACATAAGCAACAGGGAGCAAGCTCTACCATCTCCACAGGGTTTGTCCTGTAACTGGGTCTTCATTGTGGGGTGTGACTGCAGCACATCAGGCCTACCTGCCTTTGCTTCTTCTGACAAACACTGATTTGGGATGTATTACATTGGAAAATTGGCAATAATGTTGTTACCATACTATAAGCTAAATATTGTCTCTCTGCTAAATTTCTACTCACTTGCTACCACAGCCAATCAGTTGACTGGACTGGTAATCAATATTAAATGCCAGCATGCCTCACATCCATAAAATGTTATTTTTCACAGGGGAACCCTCCAACCAGACAACACTTACACAAGCTTCATTGATGCAGAAGTTAACATTGGAACAGTTACAAAAGTTAAATTTCTTTGGAACAACAATAGGTTAAATCCAACTTTTCCTAAACTAGGAGCTGCGACTATCATAGTACAATCTGGAGAAAATGGAAAACAGTAAGTATATCCATTGTGAAAATCTTGAAAGTTATTTGGGAAGATAGGTGACAAAATTATACGTGGGGTGAATGCATTTTCACAAGAAAAGCTATTTAAAGCATTCAAAGACTCTCAAGAAAACCTTTTTATTTCCTTCCTTTCAAGATACTGTTCATCCATAGTTCAGTTCACTACTGTATCAACCCTTTGCCTTAAATAGCTTCAAAGAAAAACTTAAAATATTTCCAGGCTTCAGAAAAGCAAACTTCCAGTATAACCCTTTGGGTGAGAAAAATTAGCACCAGCTTGGATTATCAGCATCAGTCTTGCCAAGTTCCTACTCACTGTCCACAAGCAATGGTTATCTGTGTCTGAGCTTGCTTTAGGATGTCTGATTCACTGTCAGCTGGAACCAGTGGAAGTTTTCCATTGATGTTGATGGTCCCTGAGATCATGATTGACAAGAGAGAACAGTGATAATAAGCCTACCCTTCCAATGAGCAAGACGAATACTTTGAAGCTGCACTTAAAAAGCTAAATCCAAAGTTGAGGGAAACAGGCTAAAACTGACTTCTGTAGACTTCATGGAATATGGCTTATATGCTCAGATTGTAGAAATGTGATTTACTGATCCAGTTTTACTGGACTTTTTAACCCACTCACTTGCTTGGGCAGTTATGTTATTTCATCCACACCATGATAGGTATCTAAAAAAGGAGGTACAGGATACGTTTTAGACCCACATAGAAATTCATAGTTAAAATGTCATCACTTGAAAGACAACATGGGAGATGGAAACAGTTTCAAGCAAAGCAAAATTATTACAGCCCAACCTTTAAGCAGAGCTCTGAAGTCCAGCTCTAGTTCCTATTCACCAAAGGACGTTGCTGATGAAGCTTATTTCTGTAGATATGCACTCACTCTTCTATTGACTCGTGCCCTTTGCACACGTAGTTGTGACCATCTACATAATGACGGTAGCACAAAAACTGGAAAAAAAGAAACAGTAAAATGAAAGGAAGGCAGGCAGTGAACCAGAATTAATACAGTCCATCAATACTTTCCCCAGCAGTAATATTGCAAACTTAGGAGCTCAAAGCATGTTGTGTTCAGTCGTGTCAAATGACAAATCAGACTGACTGATATTAAAAAAATCCACTTGTATAATCTCAACAAATGTTGACAACTCAAGGTGCTTGTATTTTTTTTTTCCTTCAGATTCCGTTTCTGTGGTTCCGAGAGGGTGAGGGAGGATGTTCTGCAAACTCTTACTGCTTGCTAACAGCACATACGGATGCCCAAAACCTTGCTACTAATAAAAGATAGTCATGCATAAAACACTGGAGTCTGCAGTCACGGCAGTTATAATACTGGTGATGGGGGGGGGGGTTGCTGGTTTTGGGGTGTGGGAGGGGTTAAGTCTGTGGATACCTCTCTATAGACAGAAATTTTAGGATTGAATGAGCCAAAGTCTGTTGAAAAATTCCCCTGATTTCAGCCTGTTTCAAAATAATTTCAGACAAAAGGAAGAAAGGGGGCAGGTAACAGAATCTGGATAGTGGCTCGTGGGCAGTACCAAGAGAAAGCAGACCTGTTTGTGAGTAGAATTAAAGAAGCTGGTGTTAATCAAACTGAAGGCTAAACCCAGAATTAGTGTGAGATAAAGATGAAACAGAGATAGGAGGGCGAGTAGTTACGAAATGAGGACAGAAGTTTAATTGTAATTACCTGTGAGAGATGGAACAGTGAACATGATGGAGAACTGGGAATGTGTTTTGGTGTGTTAACGCTGAACTAAGCTTGTACCATATGATCTGGACAGAATTAATCTGAGAAAGCTGCATAGCAAATTTCAAATGTTAGTGAAGTTTCACTAAAATGCTTATAATCAGAACAACCACCAAAGTGTCCTGAAATCCCACATGCTGGCCCTCAGCCTTGAACAAAACTGCCAGACGATGTGGTCAAAACAGGTAGTGCAATGAGGGAGTCACTTCTTTCCCTGCTTTTTGATAAAGACATTCAGCTGAAGCGTGGATAGTTCATAAATTCACTTCTGTCCCTACGTAATCCTGTCCGCTCCCTCAGCCTGCTGCTGGAGAAGCGGGCTACTTTTTCTCTGCTCCCAGAGGAACCCCATCCTCCCTGAAAAACCCACAGAACTGCTGGGGCTTGAAGACCTACCGCTCCTTGGGACCTTTCCTCTTCAGCAGTTTCTCTTGAGGTTCCCCAGACTGGGGCATTCTGTTCTTTCTGCCTCTCTGCGTGACCTTTCCTCCCCCAGAATGTCTTGTCCTGAAGGATATCAACCCCTCTGCAAGGCTTCAGATTCCCCTTGCGGTGGTGGAGATTGAAACCAATTTATTCTGTGTTAGAGCATTGCTCTTCTAATTCAGAAGAAAAAGCAGTTTAATTAATTCAGTGCATTCCGCCAGGTCTCACAGGGTGACGGGAGGGAGAGGGGGCTGTGAAGAGTAGAAAAGGAACCATCAGCACTGAAGATTGGCAACCTATGGGCGTGCTCAGAGCTGGAATAAGTTCCTTATGTGAAAACTAAACTGTTCCTTGGTTTAACCCAAGTGAAGAGAATATTGCCCAGCAATTTCAGTTTTAGTCAGAGATGCGCAGGCTTGCTTTTATGTTTAAAAACCTTCTAAATTGCATTTGTGCTTCTTGCCCAGATTAAAAGGCACTACCCAATTGTGCTGCCCCAGGAGCACAGTATGAACCAAATTTTCACCTGGATAATCACTGTTTCCTGAGTCCCTGAAACCTTGCCCTAGGGAGGCTAACAGGGAATAAATATATGAATTAGTAAAGGGGACATGCCTTGCTATGCTGTCACAGATGTGTGGGGTATTAAAATGCTAAGCCAACATCTTATCCAGCTTCTCTCGAGGGAAAGTCAAATGATATAAAACAATGATGACACTACTCATGTCTTCCCTTCATTAAATTGCTTCCCCTCCTGTGCAGCTCCTCATGGCAGCAGCAAGTGCACAGCGGAGGAGTTTGCTTTGTGTGTTTTCTTCCCAGCCTATGCTGTCCATGAGGGGTATAGCTAACGCCTATTTTGGCTCCAGTTTTTCACATCCATGGTCAACCTTACACTGGCAGAATAAGAGAGTAAGGCCTAATAAGTTCGAGGATGTGAATTGTTTGTCCTGCCTCAGGCTGCAGTAAGTCCAGTTTCGGGTTGCTCCTGCAAAGCCTTTCTCGGCTCTCCGCAGCTGCACGGCCGCAGCCGTGCGGGAGGCAGAGGATCCAGGACTCTACAGAGGATCCAGGACTTTACACGCTTTCACACTTCATTCGTGTCATCCAGTCCAAGGAGGAACACATATCCTCTCTCCAGGGAGATAAATAGCTATGGGTTTACTCAGAGCACGCACAACCGTAGACGTGGGAGCCGGCATCTGATGTTGGGTCTCCGCGTACCCCGCGTCCGTTTGACATGATCTGCTTCCTTCTGCCTTGGCTGTTTGTCTCTTCTTAGAATTTGGCTTCCTGATCTCAGTACCTCCTGCGGAGGAAACCTCAACAGGGCTATTAACTTCCTAACACTGCAGAAGAGTTTCTCCTTTGTCTTTTGTTCCTTTACCTTAGTATAAGCAGATTCTTGCCTACACAATTGTTTTGACAGTCATGATATTCTCTGCATTATCCTTTGCCATAGCCACTTCAGCAGCCCATGTAATTTTAACAAACACCTAACAGAATCAAGACGTTAAAGTTGACAATAGCATAATAAAAAATCTCCTTTTAATAATGAACTGGAGCTGCCATCATCTTGTTTTAGCAGAGTAAAATCTCTCCCCCCCTCCCGAACACTTTACAAAGCTATTACATAAAATGCAATGTTAAATGAACAACAAATTATTTTCCCTTTAGCTAGCTTTTAATGCTAATGGTGCTTTTTATTCCTGACCTTTTGAAATATTAGATTTTTTAAATGACAACATAAAAAGAATTCTTGTTTGAAAACGCAAGCGACTTTAAACCACATGTTATTACTTGTAAGTATAGCATGCACATGCATCATTCATTTCAGTGTCCCATTTATGGCTAATTGGTATATATTTCAGTTGACATATATTGTTCTCCTGCAAACGTGTCAAATTCCTTAACGATGTCGGTGACAAAAGCATAGTGCTTGAGATATATAAATTACGCTCTTTACCATATAATCATTCTTATCTATTGGGAATGCTATTTGTGACAAATCATGTTCAAAAATACAGGCTAAATTGATTATTTTTTTAAACTTTAATATCACACCATTCATGGCAAGTCTTTGATTGAATCTTTAAATGTAGAAATGTTTTGATTTTTATCTGCATCATTTTGTAGCTTTTGAAAAGCCCACTTTATTTATTAAAGGAAGAGTAGCACAATGCAGATCTTAAAATGTATCTTTTGTTATCAGCATAAGAAAACAAATGGGCTATAATTGTGGATATGGAATGAGTAATTTGGTGAACAACGCTTTGTGCTGTAGTTTAGGTTTTATAATTATTGCCAGAAATTACTATTATTTTGTTGGTGGGCAGCATTGCAATCAGGATTTTAAATATGGGAGCAACTTGGGCCACGTATTTTCATTACATTTCAGAATGCCATGTGCAATGTATTTCTCTCCTATATTATGAATCATCTGAGAACAATCAAAAAAAATTGAAGATTTCATGTGACTAATTATTGCTGAGATATAGCAGTGCTCATTGTTGTCTTTAGACAATGCTGTCTGTAGTCATTACTTTGCTCCATAAATCAGTAGGATAATGAGGTTCTATCTTTCAAGAAATATTTGAGCATATCTTAATTTGGCATTGATGAGTTCTCCTTTCTGAACCTCTTGAGGTTTTTTTTTAATCTAGTTTGTCATATTAGAGCTTTCATCACCTAGCCACAGCTGACAGTGTTTATGTACGCATATTTATTTCCATACCTTTCTGGGATGTGTCCTCAGAGGTTGCAAATATGAATTTTACGATGTTATGCCTGAAGGCTATTTTGTTCTTAATTTGAGTGTAAATCACAAGCTATTTTGCCACACCTTCATACTTCAGAAACATATAGTCTGTACGGTTGTATTTAATTGTGAAAAAAACAAGGCTAAACTTGTTAAAATCTCATTACTTTTAAAAATTGAAAACGGTTTCTTTGACTAAAGACATACTTACATGAAAATACTGTCTTTTGCCAAAAAAAATTCTATAATAGGTTCAGATACCCATTTTTTCCTCTGCAAACACTCTCAAATTTGAAGACAATGAAAGGGTAAAATGTGTCAACATTTTTAATCGGTCAAAACAGAAAGCTTCAGTAGGGGGCAGAGGAAGAAAGGAAAAGGTCGATGCGATGCTCCCACAGCCCTAAATGAGAAAATACTAACAGTGGCCTCCATGCCCATTACTTCTAAACTGTGCCCGTGTACAAACAGACACAAGAAGCAAAGTACTCTTTAAATCAGTCTAAATGTTGTATTCAATTACACAATGACAATTGAGTGGCTACTACACTTGCTAGCATATTGAAGACATATTATGTGAGACCCAAAGACAAAAGTTGCATTCAAGTCCCTCTTTGTGCTATGGCCCATGTAATTATTGTTGCAGTACATATCCTATGAAAAATCTCACCTTTAATTGCATTAAGTGGATAACTGCTTCACATCAAACCAATTAGGGAGGTGAAGGGGAAAAGAAAGAGGATCTAAACCTCCAAAGCAATGCACTTTTCTGCATAATAATTCACATTATTATAATTTTGCATATAATTTTAGATAAACATAAGTCTTACTTGATCTCATTAAAAATAACAACAATGAACAATACTGGTGACTTGGGTGCCTCAGTTTGGGGAATGCAGTTTCAGAGTTTGGATTCCCCTGGGAGTGCTGATTATCCTCTTTGGAAAGCGAGGTCTCCTGTGAGAGCGGTACCATTTCTCACTCAGAAGAGATTCTTCATGGAGGAGGAATATAGTCATCACCTTAATGACGTGGGACATGAAACACACAATGAGCATGTGTATATCTTGCCTGAGATGATGGAAGAGCAGAAGCCATCCCCTCCTTCTCTGAAGCAATGTGTTTGCTGACCGCAGCCTGAGTCAGGCTACAGAAACTTCCGAAGGAGCTGCTTAAAAATAAACCCAAACTCTTGTTTCAGATTGCTAATTTTTTCCTTAATTCCTTTCTCAAACACCAACCATCTCTCATTTGATGAGGGAATAAAAATCAAGAGGAAGGAAGCATGCAAGAGGTTCTCCACCACCTTC